CCCCCCCCCGAGAAGTTGAAATTGACTGATTGATTGAACCTTTTTTTTTTTTGCACACGGCAGCGGAGGCCTAAAGTGAAAAGGTTTTATAAAACCCAGCTGAAGGCCTAGGACTGGGGCGACGGCGCACGTGCCCACAGAGAGGGCTCTGAGTGCCACCTCTGGCACCCGTGCCATAGGTTCGCCACCACTGCTCTAAGTTATTGTTTTCTTCTAAAAGTGACGTGTTTCCATCAGTCTTCCTCTTTAGGTTCATATATAGTGTTGTTTTTTATGGAAGCTGTTTGTTCCCTACTGTGTTCAATTTGGATAGATTGGTTTTCTTCTTTAGGTTTGTTTTTTTTCGAAGCTGTTCGCTTCTTATTGGGTTTAATTTTAGTGTAGTGTTCTTGTTCTCCCTGTGGTTTACTTAAATCCTGCCAATGGGAAGAGGAAATGGCAAAATCCAGGATAATTGGAAGTAGGTTATTCAAACATTGCCAATTAGTGACCACAAAAATTATACATCTTAAGATGGGTGATCATGTCTTGAACACAGCGATTGTAAGAGCTAGGCAGGAAGTTGGATTATATACTCTTAATACATTTTAGCAATTATAATCAAATGTATGGGGCTCTGAAATTCATCCAGTGGTGGGATTCAGCCGGTTCGTACCAGTTCGGGAGAACCAGTAGCTAAATTTACCTGAATTCAGAGAACCGGCTGGCTTTTGGAAGTCCAGTCTAGGCCTTGGAGGTCTCCCAGGCCTAGAACAGCCCATCGGAAGTGCGTTGATGCCACGTCTGCATCACATAATAGAACCAGTTGTTCAAATATTTGAATTCCACCACTGAATTCATCCATACTTAAGTGCCATTTCCATGCAGTTTCCCTGGGCTACACTTATTGAAGGGCAAGGATTTTAAGTGCAATGAAATTGTTTTCTACTTATTTTTATTTAAGTAGGTCTGCAGTCTTGGAATCTTATGCATTGGTCGGGATTTCTTTGCAGGACAACACATTCTAAACTGTTACTCTTCTTTGTTACATGTGCAGCAAGGGTTGAAAAAGCATATTTCCATAGATATGCAATTAAGATTTGTGTTTTTTTCTTTTTCTTTTATTTGCATTCATTTTTATATTTTTAATTGTAATCTAGGATAAAATTAATGTCCAGAATAAATTGGACCTTAACCATGCATTTTTGCTCTCAAAAGACACGAAGATGCAATCAACTTACCAAGAGAGACATGAGGAATTGCACAAAAGCATGTGCGTATTCAGGGACATATTTCTTGCACTATAGAAATTAACAAAAAAAGACCAACTTGAATAATACTCAAAGATTAACCCATGCGATAATAATCAATACATTATTTGTGAGCAGCTCAGTTAATTCCATTCTGGCTCCTCATTGAGATATTCCTCATCCATTGTTACCAAGGTATGTTTCCCCTGTTAAGGGAAATGCTAAGTGAATTACCTCATCTGCCATGTGGGTCCCCAAACCTTCACACTTCTGCTTGGCATAATCCTCCAAAGTCTGCATAAGGAAGGGGCTGTTCTTCAAGATTTCGTGTATTTCTATAGCCACCATCTTGCATTCATGACAGAGATCTCCATTACTCTGCCAGAACTAAAGATAACAGAGGAGAACACAGGATTAACATACCTACTAATTTGTGTGGCCAAAGCTTATCTCATAAAGGAGGTTTCTGCGGAAAGGGTTTACATTACCACCTCCAGAAACACAGTTGAGTTGGGATGAATAATTTTACCAGACGGTAGAAATAATATCAACCTTGAGTGTTAGCTACACCCCTCAAAGGCATTTGGTGATCCCAAAATACTGCCTCCCATCCACCTATGTGAAATGCTGAAGCTCCCACAAGAAATAAATAAAGTAGGCATGAATAATTTCTAATTGGATACTTTCCCAAATTCTCAGCTACCATAGGAATTGCCCATTTCATCTGGCTGGCGCCAGGCTAACGGAAACTAATTCCTGCAAATAGCTTGTGCTTACATCTTTACTCATTTTGGAGACGAGACAGATGATACGAGAGAATGTTGAGTTGAAGCCTTTTCACCTTTATATAAGAGTCTCAGAGAACTTTATCTGAAGGAGCCAGCCCTTAGAAGTCAAATGAAGATTGGTTCAGGTATCCCAAGCCTCTTAAGCTAGAATGGAAAGCCCCTCCCGCCATTTCTCTGAGATCTTTCTGTCCTGTCCTGGTTGAATGTTTGACTGGAGGGGACCAATCATCCCAGCTGTTTCCTCACCCAAGGCTCTGTTTGGGGTTTATCTTGACTGAAGAGAAGAGGCACATTAGCTATGAAGGGAGACAGCATGTCACGAAGCTCTGTTATTTCAGGCCATTCTTCTGATTTTAGTTGGTTCTGAAACTTCAGCGCTCTGTCAGGACTCTGTGGCTGATTGCAGAGTAGAAAAGCACAACACACAATTTCAGGTCTATCCTAAAAAAAGCCAAAGAGAGAAACAGTTTCACAAAAGGATCTTCCCAGTCTTTAAAATACAGGAAGTCCTCGTCTTACGAGCACAACTGAGCCCAAATTGTATGTTGTTAAGTGAGACATTTGTTAAGTGAGTTTTGCCCCATTTAACGACTTTTCTTGCCACAGTTGTTAAGTGAATAACTGCAGTTGATAAATTAGTAACCTGGTTGTTGAGTGAATGTGGCTTCCCCATTGACTTTGCTCATCAGAAGGTTGTAAAAGGGGATCACATGACCCCAGGACACAGCAACGGTAATAAATATGAACCAGCTGCCAAGCATCTGAATTTTGATCACATGATTCTGGGGACGCTACAAAGGTTGTAACTCTGAAAAATGGTCATAAGTCACATTTTTCAGTGCTGTTGTAACTTTGAACGTTCACTAAACAAACTGTTGTAAGTCGAGGATTGCCTGTAAAACACTGTGTTCCAGCTCAAAATTTAGCAGTCTTATAGACATCTTGTTCATTTCTCAAAAGAAACGTTTGGTTTATGGACCAAATAAGTACTATTTAGCTTCAAAAACTTATGAATCAGTTTCCATTTCTATTTCTTATGACCTCGTCATCATTGTGTTTCCCCCCCCCCTGTATTTTACCATTAGAAATCTATATCAAGGACTGTTTGCAAACCAGCTAGGAAATATTTCATTTCATTACATGTGAAATCTTTGCTTTTTTCCCAATAGTTATTAAACAATATGAAAAAGATGAAAGCTAACACAAGCTTTAAAAAGTAAAACAAATAGAACAGTGATGGCGAACCTTTTAGAGACCGAGTGCCCAAACCGCAACCCAAAACCCACTTACCGTATTTATTGCAAAGGCCACATCAGCATTGTGGTGCCCTCATGGGGGGGGGGGGGCAGGGAGGCACCTCTGACGCCGCCTCTGGCACACAAAAACCGGGGACGCAAAAATGGGCCACCGTGCTGCAAGGTGCAAAAATGGCCGTGCCATGGGGTGCAGATACAAGGCGCTGCACCATGCAAGAATGGGGGAGGGCTAGTGAGTATCATGCAGGTACTAGCCCCGCCCCATTTGCAGCACGTGTATGCTCGTGGCTCCATGCACGCATGCATGCATGTAAAATGCTTCCCCCTCCCTTTTCTTCCAGTCCACCAATCAACAATGGTTGGTGACCTCTGCTCTACCACCTCTACTCGCAAGTCAACCGCTTCACCTCCTTTATGCTGGGCGGGGCTCCTGCTCCGGGCAGCAGTGGTGGCCTGATGCACCTGCTGCTGGTGAGGGTGGCGCATGTGCCAACAGAGAAGGCTCTGAGTGCCGCCTCTGGCACGCATGCCATAGGTTCGCCACCACTGAAATAGAATGTGCAGAAAAGAAAAAACAATAAAAAGAAAAATAGAAAAGAAAAAATAATATAGTAAAGAAAAAGAAAAGAAATATGTAAATAAGTAACTTCTCCTTTTTCATAACTATTATAAACAATTTTAATAACTTATCACCTGCCTCTAAGTTCCCATATCTTATCTGTTAGTTATACACAACTATAAACAAAATTTTAAAGCTTTGTCATTCAGTCCTGGTCAGCAAAAGTCCATTAAGAGTTATGAGAGATATCTATTTTAACCTTGATCCAGTAAACCAACTTTTGTTTCTTTCCTTTATTTCTAACACTCATGGTCTTTAATCCCTTCAGATAATATCCAAGAACTCAAAATCCACTATAGGAAACTTATCTAAGTCACTCTTCTGATTTTTAATTTGTGTGTCCCTTTTACAATATCAGTTGATACTCAGAATATCACTTTTTTCCAAATCATGCTTTTAACCTCATTTTTAAATACACATTCAAATCAATTTCAGTCTTGACCAGTAGAATTTGTTCCTCTTCCATAACACCATTAACCCCCAATCTAACTAAAATGGCAGATATTCTTAAAATTAACTTCTGACTCCATTGTTCGTAAATATCTTTCAATACATCCAATGTTAAAGTATTTTATCCATTCTTGTTAATAACTCAAATTAAAGTGTTCTTCTCCTTTCTGGTTCCCTCTGGTGTCCAGCCTTCAAAGTCGCATCCTATTATAACTATTTTCCAAATTCAAAAAAAAACCAAACCAGCTGTTTCCCATGGGCAGGATTCTTATAATCAATTTCAAAATCTCATTTCAAATCTATTCTAGACTCATAGCCCATTTATTACTCTCCAGAAACAGCACTCTAATCACTCTTTTGCCATTGGTTCCCCCCAAAATATATTTTTTCTAAATCCTTAAACTCACATTTAAAACATTTTTTGCTAAGGATTGAAGGAAACTCAGCCAGTGAAGCCTAAAACTCGCCTTTCCAAAGGTGCTTAAAATTTCAAAAGCAGTAAACAAGTAATTCCAAAAACTATTAAGAAAGAAGGCTCAGCTCAACTTTATATGGGCTGCGTTATGTCTGTGAGCTAAATTGAAATCCCTAGCCTCCCACTCACTTGTTGGCTCACTAACCAACAGCAAAAGCTTGGGTTCCTGAAGTCTATTCACAAGGAATACATGAAGGCAATCTCACAATCTCTCCTTTCTCCAGAGATTTAGCAGGTGAGGATCCACCTTCCAGCTCCCTATCTCTTCTACCATGTCTTCCCCACTTCTTCAGGGACATCTAGCTCACCACATGTGAAGTTTTTGAATGGAGATAGAACATTTTTCCCTTCCCCCCCAAATAAAAGGTAATCTGATATCATTCTTACTTATTGCATTGTGTATGCTAATTACATGGGTATTACCAGTCAAATGGGTTTTGTAGGTTTTTGTAGCAGTTCAAAAGCCTGGAAAACCAGTTTGATCAGATCAGATATGAAAGGGAGGTGGTTTTGGTGACTTTCAAATGCTTTAAAAAAATTATCTCCAAACTTGACTGCAGAATTTTAATTTTAATAAAATATTTATTCTGCTCAAAACAATCAACTCCTATTTAAACACACACATACCAGTCAAATGTATTTCTATAAAAAGAGGTCACCTTTTAAAATCACTAAAACATTCAACTAAAATAATCCTGTAAACTGTTCTAGTTGGAGGACATCTAAGGGTAGCATGCACAATCATGAAACAGAATCATATTTTGAAATAAATAGAGTGACATTCAGTTCTTAGAGTACAGATGCATCACCATTTAGATTTTTTGCTATCAAAGTCTCAGGAAAAAGGCAAAGATCTGGAAAATCATGAGTCTGGAATTTGCTGTGACTTGTGATCTCAGTCCTTCAACAGGACATACGTTCCTGGATATCATCACTCCTACCAAGAGCACACAAACTCTAGTCCTCTAGAACAGGGCTTTTCAACCTTTCCACAGATTGTACCACTTTTAGGACATGACAATATTTGAGTACCACCAGTGCTTAGCAATGTGTCAAAAACCTGATGACTAAAAAAAAGGGGGGGATTTGGGGTTTTACTGATTAGATTCATTTGTTGTTATAGAAATGGCTAGTTTATAATATTATGGAAAAGTAAAAAGTTGAGGTTCAATGTTAATGCTTCCTTCTACTGCAACAGAGGAAGTCTGTTCTTTTTCCCTTCTCCCCCTCACTTTTTCCCCCTTTTTCCTCCCCACGGTGTCCTACTATTTGCTTTTGTATTTTTGTATTTTATTCTATAATCTAATAAAATATTACAAACTGTAGAAAAGAAGGAAAAAAGTACCAGTTTTAATTTCTTTGGTGGCTGTTCCTTTGCTGAATTACTTTCCCTTTGCACTGACAAACGTATGATGAATTTATCCATGTTTATTAATATGCACCACTACCAGCTAGTTCAGGGGTCTTCAAACTTGGCACTGTTAAGACTTGTGGACTTCAACTCCCAGAATTCCTCAGCCCTCAAGGCTGGTTGAAGAATTCTGGGAGTTGAAGTCCACAGATCTTAAAGTTGCTAAGTTTGTAGACTCCTGAGCTAGCTGGTTGGCCCTTCTTCCTCTCTCCCTTCTGAGCATTTTCCACAGTGTAGTAAGAACGCATCCCCCCAATCCCTTCCCTGTACCCTTAAAGACGCAGGAATCAAGTGCAAAGCAAGAAAGGCTCACAAAATAAGCCTCGGGTTTTTTCCTCTTTAAGCTGCCTCAGTGTCACAATGTTGCAATCCTAGACTGAAAGGCTCTGGCAATTGCGAAAAGCTTTAGCTTTAATTTACCTTCAAAGAAAACTTTCTAAAAGCCATAGAGTAGACAGACTCAATTAAAGGGGGGTAAAACTAATTTCATTTGTTTAAAGGGATTAAACCTTTCCTGTTGTCTTTTTTTCCCCTTCCCCGACCTAAACCACCACCTTTTATAGCCTCTCCTCTCCTCCCCCTCCTTTTTCTTCAGTTCACCTCCAGCTCCAAGCTGCTTCTGGAAGCGCCAATCAGTTGAAGCCAATCAGCTGGAGCCCTGCTGGCTCCTGGGGCTTCTGCTGAGCCCAGACAGTCATGCAGCTGCAGCTGTCTCTCCCTCAGGCTTGGGTTGCTTAGGCTCATTCCCCTCCCCTACTACACTTGGCTAGCAGTCGCGTACCACCTGCCACGTGGCAAAGTACCACAGATGGTACCCGTACCACCGGTTGAAAAGCCCTGCTCTAGAAGTTATTGAGTCACTCATAGCAGAAGCACTAGAAGGCAAGACAAGAAACAATGAATGGAGCTAGTCAAGGAGAGAAGCAACCTAGAACTAAGGAGAAACTTCCTAACAGAGAGAACAATTAACCAGTGAAACAGTTTGCCTTCAGAAGTTGTGGGTGCTTCATCACTGGAGGCTTTCAAGAAGAGACTGGACAGCCACTTGTCTGAAATGGTACAGGGTCTCCTGCGTGAGCAGGGGGTGGGGCTATATGACCTCCAAGGTCCCTTCCAATTCTGTCATTCTTTTACTTAGATCCAATCAGCACAGTAAGTGATTTTAGGGCCCAGACTTGAACAATAGGTCCTATTTAATGTGGAGAAAAGCTAGGTTTTACACTTAGGCAGGAAAAACCAAAGGTACAAGTACAGATTACGCAAAATCTGGCTCAAAAACAGTAACTGTGAGAGGGACCTTGGAGTCCTAGTGGACAATCACTTAAACATGAGCCAGCAGTGTGCAGCAGCAGTCAAAGCAGCTAATACAATCCTTGGTTGTATAAACAAAGTCATATAATCAAAATCACGTGAAGTATTAGTACCGCTTTATAAAGCCTTAATAAGACCACATCTGGAATACTGCATCCAGTTTTGATCACCATATTGCAAAAAAGATGTTGAGACTTTGGAAAAAGTGCAAAGAAGAACAACTACGATAAGACGATTAAAGGCCTGGAGACTAAAACATATGAAGAACGGCTGCAGGATTTGGGTTTGGCTAGTCTAGAGAAAAGAAGGACTAGGGGAGACATGATAACAGTATCTCAGTATTTGAGAGGTTGCCACAAAGAGGAGGGGGGTCAACTTATTTTCCAAAGCAACTGCAGGCAGGACAAGAAACAATGGATGGATACTAATCAAGGAGAGAAGCAATCTGGAACTAAGGAGAAACCTAACAGTGAGGACATTTAACCAGTGGAACACCTTGCCTTCAGAAATCGTGGCACTCTATCACTGGAGGTTTTTAAGAAGAGACTGGGCTCATCTGAAATGGTATAAGGTCTCCTGCTTGAGCAGGGGATGGGACTAGAAGACCTCCAAGGTTCCTTCCAGCTCTATTCTGATTGATTGATGGGAGTCGAATTCCCCCTTCCTGCTATGATACATTTTGGGGTTTGGGATTAAGGGGATTCATATTATTTTCTGTGGCCAAACAGCTGGGAGTCTGATGACCATTGGCTATTGATCATGATTAATAGTAGACCTCATTTTGGAATACTGTTATCATATCCCCCCTAGTCCTTCTTTTCTCTAGACTAGCCATGCCCAAATCCTGCAACCTTTCTTCATATGTTTTAGTCTCCAGGCCTTTAATCATCTTAGTTGCTCTTCTCTGCACTTTTTATGAAGTCTCAATATCTTTTTTGTAATGTGGTGACCAAAATTAGATGCAGTATTCCATGTGTCATCTTACTAAGGCTTTATGGTGAGCCAACATATTTAAGTGATCGTCCACTAGCACTCCAAGGTCCCTCTCACAGTTATTGTTTTTGATCCAGGTTTCAGCTAATCTGTTATTGTACCTTTGGTTTTTCCTGCGTAAGGATGAAACCTTGCTTTTCTCCACATTAATTTTCATTTTGTTGGATAGGGCCCATTGTTCAAGTCTGTCAAGATCCTTTTAGATACTGAGCTTGTTTTCGAGTGTCACCTATTCCTGCCAGTTTAGTATCATCTGCAAATTTGATGAGTTCCCCTTCAATTCCCTCATCTAAATCATTTATGAAGATATTGAGGAGTACTGGGCCTTAGACGAAACCTTGTGGTACCTCACTGGTTACTTCCCTCCATGTAGATGTAGTAGCATTAAGGACTCATTGAATATGGTTTGTCAACCTGTTACAAATCCATCTGCCATCTATCCCTTTTTCTAGCTTAGCAAGAAGTAGGCTGTGGTCTATTTTGTCGAATGCTTTACTGAAATCTAAGTATACTATGTCCACAGCATTTCACTGGTCTACTAATTTAGCCATTTTATCAAAGAATGAAATAAGATTGGTTTAGTATGATTTGTTTTTAGCAAACCCGTGCTGGCTTCTACTTATAACTTTATTTGTTTCTAGATGTTCACAGATCTGTTTTTTTTATTACCTTTTCCATTATCTTTCCAGTTATTGATGTTAGACCGATTGGTCTATATAGTTTCCTGACTCTAATTTTTTTTCCCTTTTTTGAAGATGACAGCCACATCAGCTCTTTTCCAATCCTCAGGTAGTTTCCCGGTGTTCCAAAATTTTTGAAATTTTCAGTTTATCAGAGAGATCTTTGTCCAACCATGCTAGTTTCAGAGTAACCAGCAACCATGCTGGTTGCAGAGTAAATAATGAGATCAACCATCAGAAAATGGTTGACTTGAATCTGATCTATATCAAAAGTCACAGTTAGAAGCATCAGTATCAACCAACTCCCATAATATTTCCAAAGATAATTTACCTGAACTTGTTTACCAAGCTCTATAATAACGATCACTCCAGTGTCCACCATCTTCTTGCATTTGAGTGACCAGTCCTGGAAGGGAAGATACTGGCATCCACTTTCAAAAAACTTAGCAAGTTTTTCCTAGAAAGAGGAAAAATATAGAGAAGGACATAAGTTATTTTGTTTCGTTTTGTTCTGTTCTGTTTTGTTTCAGATTCTTTATCATTTTCCCAATGGCTACAGCAATCTGTGAAAACAGCATTGGGGGGGTAAGAATGAAAAACTCACTTTGAATAAAGCTAGTTTAGTGCCATAAAGGGATCCTGAGAAGTTCATAGTAATGTTTAAGCCATGGTTAGTTTGATTACTATTTGCTGGTTAGGTCATAGGGGCCTAGTTCACATATCATGCTAACTAAATGATTATTTATAAGCTACATTACTTTAAGTGACACTAAACAAGCCACATTATGGCTTAGTCTGACGTCTAAATTAGAATAATACATCATAATAATACAGCACAGAATATTTCTTTCAAATTTCTTTTAAAAAATTCCTTCATTAATAAATAAATGTCCCTTCTTCCCTCATCTAATACTTTTAGTTACTACAATTCCCAAGCCCAAAGTACTTACATCTGTAGTATTGTCTTGAACAATCTTTGCCATCAAGACTACAATGAGTTTACAAAGAGTGCATTTTAAATTTTTCTGAGGAAAAGAGAAAGAAAAGAGTGTTACTAGAAGAACGTTTGTATTATATTTTAACCCTTTGTTCTCACTAAATTAGTTGTTCCTCTGAAACAAAACTAAGAACTAGTTAGTTGAAGCTGTGGCATTGATTAAAATAAGAATCCTATCCAAATTATTTACAATTTGGTACAATATTGAAAAGAAAGTCTCTACAATGATAGAAAGAAGCAGGGTCATATTTTTGCTTTTCCTGTAAAGAGTAATAAAATGCTGCCATTGTTGCTAGGTCTGATGATATAATTTCTTACTGCCAGAAGAAAGATCATACATTAATTACAACAAAACAAGGATAGTTGGTTGGGGCAACACCTTACATCAGAGGTCCCCAACCTTTTGGGCACCAGGGACCGGTTACGTGGAGAGAGGTTTGGGATAATAATTTGGGATAATACTAATCTGAAAATGTAAGAGATTTTAGTTTGTTTTGTTGTTCATGTAGGGTCTGTTTGTTGCCATTCAGGGTTTTTTAAAAAAGAGTTTTTGCAAGAATTTGGATTGTCTGAATTGTCACAATGGCAGTATATCCATTAAAATATATTTCAATTTCATTATTTGGCCAAACACATTGGAAGCATCTAAAACTCTTGAATTACTATCAGCACTGAAATGTCTTATGAATAAATCCAAACCTATCCTATTTTCTATCTAAATAATTGAAGAGTGAGGTCAAGGTGGATATTAATTATTTGCATGGACATTCCATCTCCTCAAATCGTAGGGCTGGAAGGTCTTCTAATCCAACCCTTGTTCAAGGCATGCGTCTTATATCATCCCAGATAAATGGCTGTCGAGTCTATTTTTGAAAACCTCCAGTGATGAATCATTCACAACTTCTCCTTACTTCTAGGTTGCATCTCTCTTTGACAAGCTCCCACCTATTACTTCTTGTCCTGTCCTCTGATGCCCTAGAGAATAAGTCAATCCCTTCTTCTTTGTGACAGCATCTAAAATACTGAATACAGTTTTCATGTCCCCCATTATCCTTCTCTTCGATAGGCTAGACATATTTAACTCCCTCAACCATTCATCGTACAATTTAGCCTCCAGACGTTGTTGTTCTTCTCTGCACACTTTCCAGGATCTCAACATACTTTTTGTATCATGGTGATACAAAACTGGATGCAATATGTAAATGGTGGATTCTAGAGGTGGATTAGTTCCAACTTGTATGCATAGCATAAGCTTAGCTTAGCTATCAATGAATAGTAAGTTAATGCATTTGAAATAAAAATGGTATTTTTTTAAAAAAAGTGGCTGAAGCTATAAAGGATTCAGTTCTATCTGAATTATATCTTGAAGAGGTCAAAGGAGAAAGACAAATAATAAATTGGGTACAAAGAGATGACTGCCTCTAGGATCATGTTCTCAAACCAGTTTCACTGCAGGTGTCCCAACCAAAATTTCTAGTGGTCTCCCACTTTTCTGAGGTAAAAGTCTCAGAGGTCCAGTTGTCTTAATGGAATATTCCTCCCCCAAAATACAATCAGGTTCTACTTTAGTGGCATTTTGTACACTTCTTAAAACAGAATTATTTAGAAGAGTTTTTGCAATGTGATTGCCCCCATCTATTTATTTATTTCACTTATTGGTTTTATTTTTATTTTTACTACATCTGTTATACATTTAAATGTATGTATATTTGAAGTTCAATTTTATTTTACTATTATACTATGGAAAATATCAAGTAATGAATTGAAAAATATTGTAAGCTGCTAATAGTCATTTGAATACAAAGGACAACATTTATTTATTTATTTATTTATTTATTTGTTTGTTTGTTTGTTTGTTTGTTTATTTATTTATTTATTTATTTATTTAGTGAATGATGCAGTCTTCAATGCATACACAAACACAGATCTAACTATCTGAGGATTTCTGGGAGTTGGTCCACACATCTTAAATTTGCCAGGTTTGAAAAACACTGATCTAGATCTTAGATACAGTGAAATGGAAATGTTGTTAAGAATGAAATGGAAATTTTATTATAGTGTCATGTATACTCACAGGGTTATTAACTTGCAGCATCTGATAGCAGCGCTCCAAACTTCCACACTTCAGAGCTGTAGCAAAATCCTGGCACAATATTGATGGATCCTCGGTACATTCTTTCTGTGATGTCACAGGAGTTCCAGCAGCTGCCCACAAGGAGAAGAGAGGCAATAGATGTCAGATGCTCAACAAAAAAATAGCTTTATCTCATAGTGAAACCAAGTGCTACTTCCAAACATGGATTTCAACCCTACCTGGATATAGATTTGTTCCAGGAAGAAACTTTTAGAACCACAAACATGGCCTCAAAACCTAATTCAGCCATGTAGAAACCACCTGGAGAAAGAAACCCACTTCTAATGCCCACTTGGTGATAGTAACAATACTTAGACTTATATATTGCTTCACAGTGCTTTATGGCCCTCTTTAAGTGGTTTACAGAGTCAGCATATTGCCTCCCAACAATCTGGGTCCTCATTTTACCAACTTTGGAAGGCTGGGTCAACCTTGAGCCACTGAGACTCGAACTGCTGGCAGTCAGCTCAAAACGGGAATAACAATAACTGACTGCATAATGCAGTGTGAAGTGAACACAAGAAAGAAAGAAAAGCACAGACATCCTATGTACTATACAATAAATGATGATCTATAAATAAACACAGAATGTAAAGGCCAGCCAGTCATCTAAAGATCATGGTGGGAACAGGGAGATATACCATAAACTTGTTTTATCATGAATACCAATCAAATCTTGCTTTTTTATAATGGTTTTTATTTTTGTAAGCTGTCTAGAGTAGCCCCTGGTAAGGGGAAAATAAATAGATAGCAAACAAATTTAACAAATAAATCTACTGTAAATAGTCACCTGGCAGAATCCTAGCCACTAATGGTCAGATATTCATGAAGGGTCAACATTAACTGGTTTTAGGGTGTACATGCCAAGTCAGGTATTGTATTATATTTTTTTCAGGTTTGATGGGGATCTATAAACTGTAAGAGATGTTTTAAATTCTAAAGTCCCGTTTGAATAATTTTATTCTTTTATTTTTCAAATGTGTGTCTGTGAGATGAGTTGGGTTGAAAGAGAATGACTGGCTCAAAGTCACCCACCTGGCCTTTATGCTAGAACTCACAATCTTCAGGTTTCCTGGCCAGTACCTGAACCATTACATCAAACTGGCTCTTTTGTTCTTTTAATTCAGCTGCAAAAAAATTCTGAAAAATATCTGCAGCACCACGTGGCACTTTATGAGCAGAAGTGGCTTTATCCACACATACATCTTCCACCCTCTGGAACGAACTACCCCCCGAGATCCGGACGATTCCGGATCTCCTAACCTTCCGCCGCGCCCTCAAGACTTGGCTTTTTCAGCAAGCGGGACTGACCTAGGGTGAATTTTTAAATAGGGACAATTTTAATGATTTTAAACAAGACACAGCTACAAATATTTGGTTTTTAATTGGCTTTTATAGGGAAATGTTTTGTATTGTTTTTAATATGCTGTGAGCCGCCCTGAGTCCCATGGGGGAGAAGGGCGGCATATAAGTTAAAGTTAAATAAATAAATAAATGTGTATTATTATTGCAGAAATAGAAATACAAATATTTGGAAAAATCTGAAGATAGTCCTTTTGCAGCTGCTTACTACAGATTAGTCTAAGAAACAATATATGATAGAAATACTTAATACAGTACAAATGACTTCCAATCAGAGATGAATGGCAGGTATCGGATTTGAACTGTAAAATTCCAGATCACCCCTAGATGGAAGCAGGTTTTCTGTATCACTCTACTGCCATCTAGTGTTCATCTACATACATTCTTCTAGTTCAAAAGCCCACAATGAAGGTTCCCTTGCTTTCCCCTACTCTCCTCATTGCAGCCAGTCTCCCACATCTTCCATAAATGGCCCAGTCCTTCAAGAACATATATAGAAGCAAAAAAAAGGGACTGTAAAAGTTATGGGGAGAGATTAATTCATTGCTGTCATCGACATTCATTGTCATAGTTGGATACAACCCTGTGGTGTTTAAGTAGGTTCTTGCAACATATTACAAACTATTTCCTGAGTATGAAGGAGCTTCTGTCTAGATTCAAAGTTTGGGAGAAGATAGTATAGCATCCCTTTCACAATCTCCATTAATAACAATAGAGCATAACCACATGAAGTGGAAAGACCAAAAGAGATAGTCTGCAGGTGTGCATTTATACTTCCAATCCTATATATCAATGTGTGGTTTTCTACACTGTGGGAATCAGCTGAATCATCATTTTAATTTCCAAAATTCTGCAGGTTTTATATACTGCAGAATATTTACTCTAGAGTTAGACATTTCTATAATAATGTACAGTGTGATTGCTATCTTTTGTCAGTTCAAACTCTGTGAGACATCAATGCAAATACTGCATTTAAAACCTGCAAAAACTAAGCATGTGGGGTTTTTTTCCCCTTATTAGGAGTATAAGCCAGAATAGGAACAGTTGCAACAGCTGAACCTTTCCTGGGAAGATAAATGAATTTTCCCCTCTGATCTACTGTCTCCCAAACAGCGTCATTACTGTAGTTTGTTCGGGTATCCAACTTGGGAAGGGGAGGAGAGGGGAGAGAAGGAAAGGGAAGGGTGGGGAGAAAAAAAGGGGAGGGAAGAAAAGGGAAAGAGGAGGGGGAGGGGAGAGGGGGGAGAGGGGGAGGGAAAATTTCCAATGCTTATGCCACCTTCCCACAAAAAAAAAAACACTCAATGGGGAAACCAACTGGAAGTTAGAAGTCATTTTCACTCGTGATAATTCTGTTTCTTTATTTAGATAAGGAAATATCTCTGAAACGATGACTCATTAGATCATAGGTGATCTAGTGAATACTAAAAGGGGAGGTTCCATGGAACAAATAACTAACTTTGAGGATACGTAACCGGCTGTGCAGCTTATAAAGATATACTTCAACTGTGTATCAACTTTTGGAAGATGCTGACACCAGAAGAGCACAAACAAGATTTTCAAGCTCTAATTATATTTCAGTCTCTTATAGATTCATGCATATTGTACATTAGGACAAAACTTTTGCACAGTGTGCCTTCTTTCCTCTGCTGGCAATTTTCAAAATTAGAATTATGGCAGTGGAAGAAGTTTTAAGAAAATACATTAAAACAAAATAAAACAACATTTGGTTCTATTTAGCAAGTACAGAATGCTGGTTTTGATGGGGAAGGGAGTAACAGATAGAATGACTCCATGCCCAAGGTGTCACCTTGCTAGAAGATTTGATTTGGGCCTACATATCTCTTTAATTATCAAGGGAGAGCAGATACAGAATTATTTTTGTGATTTTGAAAGAACAGAAAGGTCCCAGTTGGGACAATGTACATTCATATCAAATATGGTGAAATGAAAACCATTTCAGAGAAGTATATTATACGGCAGGATTGTTTTGAGAGCAGTAAATGGCCTTTGCAAGAGGCACTTGTGTAAGTTGTGTCTTTTATGCCAAGCTAAAACAGGTTCAACAACAAAACATTTGTTACCTCAGATCCTTATGTATGTCCAAGGCAAATATTCAATTTCTTAAAGAAATTTCAGCAGTGAATAGACAACCCCCCCCCCCCCCCCCCCCCCCNACCCCCCCCCCCCCCCCCCGTTGGACATTAAGCACTAGTTTAACACTGAATGGGCATGGTTAAGAGTATTTGAAAAGTTGTTGAACTTCTCTGAGTACATATACATTCTTTGGGTTCTTAAACATAAAATATGAATCTTTAAATCATGCTATGAGGCCACACACACACACGCACAAACACCCTCATTTATTACAGTTTAAAGCAGGTGGAAAGTGTGGAAGAATGATAAAGGATTGGTTTAGCATAGCATAGCTTTCACATCTGTGTATTAATACAAATTTTCTTGAGATTTGCATATGTAAAATCATGCTCTCAGTGCCTGAAATATCCAATAATATTACCTATACTTTTCAGAGATCACTCTGTATAATCACTCTGCATAAACATTGAACAAGGAATTCATTATCCCATCACTCTTCATTTTATTATCTCTTTGTTACCCTATCATAGCCTCTCTGTATTAACCTATTATCCTCCTACAGTCTCTCTCTATTATCTTAACTCTGGGGTAGACTTTGAATAAGTAATGTAAATTAGTTTCTACGTCACTATCCATTTGTTTTTTTATCTCAAAATCTTTTTTTCATTGATGAAATGCTTTTTCCTTGAAGATTTTCCCTACATAATTCTCCACCCTACTTATCTACACTTACGTGGGTGGTGTTTTCTTTGTCATAACTCCCCAAATCTCTTTTTTTCTAAAGTCTCAACAACCTGAATTATTGAGACATAAGATGCTCTATACCACAATCAGATTGCTTCTGTTATCTGTTTCAAGACTGGTGTGGTTATGATCAGATTGTTCTGTCCAGCTTACAAAATTAATATAGTCAGCTACAAGACATTTAAAATAATTACATTCACACAACTGAAGCTTTATAACTTTATACATAACAGCAGACATAAAGAATGCAGAGAGCTGCATTCAAGTCAGGCTGTAATTCAGTTGCAAAGCAGGAAAAACAAATATTTTTCAAAATTTTCAATATTAAAAAAATCTCTTAAAATGTATACACATACATATTTTGCTAATTATTTACTGGGTTTTTGTAGTGTCCACATGCAAGACTACTATAGTATGTGCTGTTCTGCCCAGCTTTAACAGGCCAAAGTCATTTTTTTGGTTTTTCTTTTTCTTGCTTTTTGCTTTCTCGGGAAGCAGTTATGCATCTGTGTGTTTGATATATATATATGAACACACACACACACCTAGTGCAGTACAAAGATTATTGCCTCTCATTGCTGAAATAAAGACAAAATAGGAACAGAAATGTATCTGATACTTAAGTCTACTTCCCTGAGATGTAAGTGTCCATAGAAATTTTGCTTCCAAAGCTCACTTGGGTATGAAAAATGATTTCCAGAAATATAGCAGCTAGAAAGAAAAGGACTAAATTCTCACATATAAAGTATAGCAATTCCTTCTGAATCAGCCACCCTCTTGGTGTTTCAATTAAACATAGGAGGTAAAATTGATTCCTTTAAATTTAGAAGGAAGTGAACATTAAACAGTTTACCAACTAAAGAATTATGCAAGTGTTAAAATAATTATGAGGATTTGCCTTCTGTCCACTTAAGCATACCCTGATAATTCATGTAATCAAGAGGAATAATTTTAACACATTTGTTTTATGCAGGAATGTGATGTATTCTGTATTTTGATGCCTTAATCATTCTCCTAAGGAGGAATCCAGTTTGATATGGTAGAATCACAGGCTACAGTTTTAATGCTTAGAGAAACAAATTCCTAGGATAATCCAAATGCATTAATTTTGGGGTGTTTGTACCAGGGATAAAATTTATACAAATAAGGTCAATCTGTCACACTAGAAGCCTGCTCAAAATTTGGGGAGGGAGGGTTAAAAAGACTCCCAAAACAAGTTATTTCTCTCATCCTGATGAAGGATCAAATAAAAACATGGATCCTTTGAAAAGAATAAAGTTGGAAATGTGGAAGAGGAAGCAGCTGGAACTGGAGAATACGGTTTTCCTTGCAATTAAGTGGGTTCCATTCATCTTGCTCCAGCAGTTCTACTAGTTGGGAATGGCTCACACCAACTTCCATTGGGCCACTGTGTTCCTAAAATTACATTTTCCTCCACATTGTGTCTTGTTACATGACACATCCGTCTTGGAATAAAGAAGAAAAGGGCCCTTAAAACCAGGATGCAGGGCTCAAACAACTAATGAGGGTGTGCTGATTTTGAAGAACAGGCCTTTCACATCTTCTGAGTCTGCTGAAAACCTGTGCATAATAGGTCACCGTAACAAAGTTTACCACAGTAGTTTTCACCATTGGTGACCTGGTTTCTCACTTCATCTTTAATGAATAAGGTGAAGAAACAGCTCATCAGGGCGTCATATGTCTTGCTCCACAGAGAAATGAATGTTAGGATTATCCATAATTTTCTCGGTTAGAACATAATTTACTTGGTCCACACCCTCCTTTTATCTCCCTGTTTAAAAAACAACAACTGAGTTGCATATTTGAAGCATATTTAGACCTAATTAATTTAGATTCAGTATAAATCATCGAAACGGATATGAGTCAAC